CCGTAGGGTGTAGAGAGGGAAAAGGACACAGTCTTGCCACTTCACAAATTCACACAGTGTCAGGAGCCAAATCCATTTCATTGCTAGGTCTGCAGTATGATAAAACTTGACTTTTCAAATGAATTTACATCAGATAAAAAAAATACCTATTTGAGAAGTGAATTTCCTTGGCTCTGACGGACACTGACTACTTCTTCCTTAGTAGTTACGCAATAAATGTGGACCTGGTTCAAGTTAAAACGTCTAGAAAAGTTTGCTGCTGCTTTTCTGGGGTCTTAAAATAGTGTGACAGCATGACCAAAAGTTCAGCTTATTCCTTGTTCCATTGTGCTTTGTGTATATCTCTCTGTGATAACTATGTTTTATAATTTAGTTATTAAATATTTGTTTCTCTCCAGTGTGTGTTTTGTGAGAACAGGTATCCTTTCAATTCTTATATGTCACTGAAATGTTGGCTCCATCAGTCAGGGACTTTTTTTGTTTTATTTTGTCTTATTCACTGTGATACCCCAGTCCCTAGAATAGTGCCTTGGTACAAAACAGGGAGCTCCATAACTACCTGTTGAATGTATTACTGCATTGATTCCTTTTTGGCTAAATGTAGCTGATGATAATCAGCCACACTATTTTTTTTTTTTTTTTTTGAGACGGAGTCTCGCTCTGTCGCCCGGGCTGGAGTGCAGTGGCGCGATCTCGGCTCACTGCAAGCTCCGCCTCCTGGGTTCACGCCATTCTCCTGCCTCAGCCTCCCGAGTAGCTGGGACCACAGGCGCCCGCCACCTCGCCCGGCTAGTGTTTTGTATTTTTTAGTAGAGACGGGGTTTCACCGTGTTCACCAGGACGGTCTCGATCTCCTGACCTCGTGATCCGCCCGTCTCGGCCTCCCAAAGTGCTGGGATTACAGGCTTGAGCCACCGCGCCCGGCCCTAATCAGCCACACTATTATAGAGCATTCTTATAATTCAGTTATTCACTATTCAAGTCCTTGCAGTTTTGAGATTATAAAAATAGCCATGACATAACTGTAGTAACTGATAAATTGACCATTTATAAAATTAGCTTTCACTCAAACACCCCTCCCTGTTAGGTTCTGTATCTATTCCTGCCCACTCTGCCCATATGCTTTTGGGGCAGATATCCAACAATACAGTTCAAAGTGAAATTGCATACCCTGCAGAAGCTGCAGAACTTTGTGATGTTGAAAGTGACAGTGAAAGAACTAGAAGTGGTAATTACATGGATAAATGGAAATGGCTTTTTTAATTATTTAAATATCTTTAAAAGATAATTGCCTGCTTATGCAAAAATAATAACGATGTATGTAAGGTTTACAAGATGTACGAATAAAAAGTTTGTAACATGTAGAAATAAAAGTATGACAATAATAGCACAAGGGCTGGAAGGGAAGAAATAGAAGTATGCTGTTCTGAAGTTTTTTTTTTTTAACTGAGAGTCTCACTCCGTCACCCAGGCTGGAGTGCAGTGGCACGATCTCGGCTCACTGCAACCTCTGCCTCCCAGGTTCAAGCAATTCTCGTGCCTCAGCCTCCTGAGTAGCTGGGATTACAGGTGCCCACCACCATGCCTAGCTATTTTTTATATTTTTACTAGGGATGGGGTTTCACTTTGTTGGCTAGACTGATCTTGAACTCCTGACCTCAAGTGATCCGCCCACCTCAGCCTCCCAAAGTGCTGCGATTACAGGCATGAGCCACCACACCCAGCCTAAAGTTCTTATATAACATGTGAAGTGATACAATATTACTTGCAGGTAGACTGTGATAAGTTAAAGACTTCTGTTAAAATCCAAAAGCAACCTCTAAAATAACAAAGAGTTTTGGCTAACAAACCAACAAAGGAATTAAAATGGAACAAAACACATTTAGTTATCCCAAATACTCAATCCAAAAAATAAAAAAGGCAATAAAAGAGGAGAAAAGGGAGCAAAGAACAGATGGGATAAATTTAAAAAATTAGCGAACTGGTAGATTAAACCCAACCTTATCAATAATCACAGTAAATATAAATTATTTAAATGCCCCAATTAAAAGCAAGACCAACTACATGCTGTCTACAGAAAACCCAGTTTCAATATATAAAGACACAATCGGAAAAATGGGAGAAGTTCTGCATGCTAACACTAATCGAAAGAAAGCTGGCGTAGCCATGTCACTCTCAAAGTGGATTTCAAAGCAAAGACTAGAATAACCAGGGATACGGAGGGACTTTGCCTATGATAAAGAATCAACTCATCAAGAGGACATAACAATCCTAAATGATTTTGCACCTAAAAATGATGTTGAAGGACTGTGCACGTGATACCAGCCCCTGACAAGTGAGGACCTGACCAAGTGCAACACTTTATAATTGAAGCAGGGGAAACTGAAAAAGATGACAACACGACAGTCTTTCAGGAGAAAAAGATTTGACCATTAAATTGATGGAGCCTTGGAATTTTTTTTTTTTTTTTCCGAAAAGACCCTGATCAGGATAGCTCCGTGCAACTCAACCTTGTGGTGAAGGATGTTTTATTGCATAAAGTTCTGTTGGAAAAATGATGCCAACAAAACCAATACTTGATTAATAATGAAAAATGTGTTTATAGATAAACTCCATGTGTGCTTAGAGTGAGCTGTGGTTAAATAGCTTCCACGCTTGGCAGCACCCAGGGTGAGTTTGATGGTGTATGTCAGTTACTCATTGAACTCGTAGTTATTTTATGCACTTACAAATGCAGCCACTCATCCTGCACTTTTCCAGCTAAATTCCAGCCCAGCTTCATGACATACCAAGTGGCTTTGGACCAAGTTGTTTAACTGCTCGGTGCTTCTGTTTCTTTTCTGTGAGAGGAGTAAAATGGTGCTCCTCCCAAGATGGAAGTGAATGCTCCGTGAGAGGAGACACATGAGTCTCTGAAGACTCAGAAGCTCTATGCAAATGGCAGTGTTTTTTTCTCTTTACTGTTGTGATGTCTCAAAACAAATGCAAACAAATGCAATGCAGTGTCTGAAGGAAGCCCATGTTAAGAGCAGACATCTTGGCATGGGAGAGCTGATCTCCTATCTGATGTGTAGAGCCACTGGCATTTTCTGCAGCATATTTTTCTCTTCTGAGTCAGGATGGAAAGAATTTGCCAAAATAATTGCCAGGGGAATGTGTTGTGGAACCTTTTGTGATCCGCTTATCCCCCAAGTTTATCATAATTCTTAAGAGTACACTGTGTTTTAGTTTCGAAGCAACATTTAGCTTGAAGAAGGCTCTGCTTTTGTTTATAATTGCTTACTTAGCCTACTGACAGTTTGAAAGTCTGGCAAAGCAGCCCAAATGTATTATTTTCTTCCAATTCTCTATATTTATTTAGTGCTGAATGATCCTTTATAGTAAGATCCTAAACTCAAAGCACTTATGGTTTAAAGACAAAGTAGAAGGCAAGAAAAAAGAAAGATAGGAAGATACACTGCCAAGAGAAGAAAAGCAAAAAGCTTGGTCTGTTCTAGATAATAGGAAGTTATAGTAAATAGGGCTAGATTTACGGATGAGCAATAGAAGGGAAATTAACATTGATAGATTAAATATGTTTTATAACACAACAGGAACTATAGACTACATAAAAATAAAAGAAAGGATTGGTCCATCTTCAGTGCTTCGTGTGGCTGGTCTCCTTTCATCTGCCCCACAGTCGTATGTAGTAGGTAATGTTGTCTTCAGCTTTACAGAAAGGCAAACAGGCTCAGAGCTGTTAAGCAACTCCCCTAAGTCCATCAGCTAACAAGTGCTGGAGCTGGATTTGACCTCAAATAGCCACAGACTGTGTTATCTCCACACATTTATTTCTTGATGAATTTTGAAAAATTGAATCAATTGGAATTGGAGCAAGGCAGTAACCAGCCTCATGCAGAGAGTAATTATTTTCTTGGGTAAATCTTCGAAGGGAAGGAAATAGCTTGGGAATGATAAAATGAAATTATTTGTGAGGAAAGGAGAATCAGTGACATGCTAAGTACAAAAAAGCTTATCTGACTGGTAGAAAAGCGTAAGTTCCTGTAGACCACTGGTTCTAAACTCCAGTGGACATCACCAGAGTTGCTGGTGCCTGACAGTCTGCATTTCTAATAAGTTGCCACGTGGTACTGATGCTACCGGTCTGGAAATCACCCTGGAGAAAGGTGGTGACATGGCCAGTGTGTGAAAGAGGAATTAATCTGGGTAGCAGCATTCCAGGTGCTGGGAGAGGAGTGGAAAATTGGCATTTTTGACAAGTGTGGGATATTGAAGCACGTTTTAGAGCTATGCAAAATAAAGCGCCGCTGCTAACAGAGACTTAAGGAGGACGGTGCTGAGGAAGGATGTAAAATATAGGCTGAGCATCCCTAATCCAAAATTCCAAAATGCTTTGAAACTTTTTAAGCACTGACACGATGCTACATGTAGGAAATTTCACATCTAACGTTATGTGATGGGTTGGTAGCCAAAACTTTGCTTAATGCATAGAATTATTTAAAATATTGCATAGACCAGGTACATTGGCTCACACGTGTAATTCCAGCACTTCGGGAGGCAGAGGCAAGAGGATTGCTTGACCCCAATAGTTCAGAAAACCAGCCTGGGCAACATAGTGAGACTGTGTCTCTACAAAAAATTTTAGCTGGGTATGGTGGCATGCACCTGTAGTCCTGTCTATTTGGGAGGTTGAAGCAGGAAGATCACTTAGGTGCATCAGTTCAAGAATGCAGTGAGCTATGATAGCACCGCTGCACTCCAGCCTGGGCGAAGAGTGAGGCACTGTTTCTAAAAAATAAAAAAGTAAAATATTGTATAAAATTACCTTCAGGCCATGTGCATCAGGTATATATGCAACATAAGTGATTTGGTGTTTAGGCTTGGGTCTCATTTCCAAGGTATCCCCTTTAAAAAATTTTCCTTTATGTTGCATGTTTTTAAAATAATTGAACATATTAAGTGAATTAAAATTGTTACCTGCATTGTTTCTTGCTGCATAGGGTTTCTTAATATTTGGGATTTAAGGACCGGAAAGTACCCTGTTCATCGTTTTGAACATGATGCAAGAATACAGGCACTAGCCCTCAGCCAGGACGATGCAACTGTGGCCACAGCTTCTGCTTTTGATGTCGTGATGCTGTCCCCCAGTGAGGAGGGGTACTGGCAGATAGCTGCGGAATTTGAAGTTCCGAAACTGGTGAGCTTTTTAGTCTGGTCATTTTATTTTCTATTCTTAGAATCTCTGGGTCTAATATAAGCATGTACTAATGGCATTGGTAACTCCCATTCACTCAGAGCTTCCTGTGGGCCTTACATCCATAAATCTAACTACAGCCTTACAAAATAGGTAGTAGTGTTTTCCCCATTTACCAAGAAGTCACTTTGCTGCTTAGAGCAGTGAACTGGCTTGCCCCAGTTCTCAGAGCTAAGAAGTTGTGATTCAAACCTTAGGGCTGACTTCAGGGTCAGAGCTGCTCATCACTGTGGTTCCTTGGCCTTTTTCAGACTAACACGGTGGAATCTTACCCTTGGGAATTGACGATCAGTTTCTGACCTAATATATAAGCGAGAATGAGTTCAGTGGTGTTATCCGAGTCCATATGGGAAGGAAGGTTTCCATTCCTACACTTCCTTCATCCCAAGACTGTCTCACCTGAAATTGAAAGTAACTCCTGAGTGAAGATAGATTTAAGTCGGTGTTAATGGGGTAGCCATGTTCCAGGATGTCACCTGTGCAGTTCAGCCAGCCTTAAGAATTCTTTATGTCGAGCTTATTTCTGAGTTCATTTATACAGGAACCTCTATCTTTGTAGAGTGGGAGATGATTTGGGGCTAAGAAGGAAGTTCTCAAATCTGTCTATGCTGAGTTTGGATTTAATTTAAACAAACTTGATTTTGGCACTGGTAGGAGAGTGAGCAGAAAAGCCAACACTGAGTGATGAATTGAGGGCCTGACCTGGAACCAATCCTGTTCCTCCCTCTTCTTCTCTGGTGGAAATCTTAGACTAGAATAACTTAGAAAGCCATGGCATCACTGCTTCACCTCCATGAGCATCTGCACTTTGGATATAGTGCTCCCCCAAGATGGCCTGATGATGTCAACTCATCTGGGTTTTATTAGAAAAATGTGAAAGTATATTTCTGTTCTCAAAACTTCCAAAGTACTATTTAGTCTGTGATTAAAGAATACTGTAGACCAGCAATCACTAAATGGACCCAGATACTTAAGATGCCAGTTTCTCTGTAAAGTGCAAATCCTGCCTTGGCAATAAGGTGGCATCCTGGCACAGACTGGAAGCTTTTTGAAGTAGTTTACAGCCCCCAGCAAATGGCACCACCACTGTCAGTCTCAGCCTCTTGGTCTGTCAGAAAGCCAACACGGAGATAAAGTTAAAGGGCTAGACAGAGGATGTCCGTTGTAGGAAAATAAGAAATGATTTGGAGGAGTGAGAGGAACCAAGCAGCCATTGTCTGAGGCGGGTTTTATGCATGGTTTAGGAATTATTTTTCACTTTGGGTGAAAGGTTCCCACAAAATGCTCTGAGTATCCTTGGAAAAGGCACCCCTGGCCCGAAGAGCCAAGCCAGTTTTGTCTTGTCCGTATACGCCCCTGAATGGCAGTGGCAGTGTTCCCAGGTCTGCAATATTAGCCTAGAGCGGCTGTCCTTTGTGATGGACCTGCTGCTTGTGAAGCTGGGCCCAAGGATTAGGAGAGTCCCCCGGATGTTGACGTTCCCTCCAGCTCCTCTGGACGGTGTTCCGGAGGCCGGCTTTGAACTCTTTGGCGTATGGTCAGGGCAGCGCTGTCCTTTCACACTGTGGATTTTCATTATTACACAGCGTGGCTCACCTTCCATGTGTCCTCTCGTGATTTACTCAAAGAGGGGAAAGCCTGTTGGGAACAGCACCGTGGAGAAATGGGCCGCCTGTGGATGGACAGAATCAAATTATTCTTGAAAAGTGCGGAGAAATGGGCCGCCTGTGGATGGACAGAATCAAATTATTCTTGAAAAGTGCGTCTCAGACTCGTGCACATTAGAGAAAGTGCCGGTGGTGATGCATTCAGGACTGGGGAGCAGGGTGGGTAGAAAAATGTGTTTGTAGATCCCTTCCTTACCCTCTGGTGGCCAGATGGACCCTGATGACATTGAAACCAGGAGACAGCAGATCACTTGGATATTTTGAACCTTTTGGCCACACATTTTGGCACGAATGTTAAAATATTCTTTTTTGCGAATTTGGAACTGAGTGAATGTTATTTATTCAGTTTCTTGTAAAAACAAACAAACAAAAAAAACCACACACAAAACAAAACAAAAAAAAACCTTTTATTTTTTGAATTGCTATTACATCCCCATGGTTCAAAATTTAAAAGACACAATAAGGCTGATGGTGGGAAGTCTCCGCATCTCATAATCCACTTCCCTCCTTGAAGGCAGCCATTGTTAGTAGATTTATGGATGTGCGAGTCAAGCGTGTGGTGTACTTTCTCCGCCCCCACCTTGTACACATTCAGCAGGTGAGGTTACCTTACTCATCTTGCATCCTTGCTTTACCCGCTAAGTTTATCTTGGAGAATCATCCCATTTGTTCCGTTTTATAAAGAACGTTTTCATGCTTCCCTCTATGACTGCATGGTATTCCAGTGTGTAGATACACTAAGTTACTTAATTAGTCCCTTAGTAATGGGTGTTTCCGTTTTTCTAGTTTTTAGCTAAGACACAATTGTACTACAGTTCATGAATAACCTCGTATATAATTATTTTTTATATTTGTGAGTTTATTTGTAAGTAACTTCTAGAAGTGGATGTCCTAGGTCAGAGTGTATGTTCATTTGGTATTTTGCTAAGAGTTGCCAAAGTTCTCTTGATAGAAGCTGGACAAGATTTATGTCCCCACCAGCAATAAGTGGAATCCAGAAACACGGAACATACGGAACATGGTTTTTCCCTCCTTCACTTCCAGCCTAGGGTGTTATCAGATTTCTTGATCTTTACCGATATGAAAGATGAAGCATCACATTTCAATGAATTTTCATTTTGTATTTCTCTTTTTAGGCATGTCTTATGTTTCTCTTACACTGAACATCTTTTCTGTTGTGTAAGAGCTGTTTGTGTTTCATTTCCTGTGGGTGTTTCATTTGCCCATCTTTTTCTGTTGGGTTGCTGGCCTTCGCATTGATGTGTAGGTGGAATTGCATATTTTTGACCAAGTCAGGATGAATTTGTGGGACTAAACAACTCTTACCTTTTAACAGGTTCAGTACCTTGAAATAGTTCCAGAAACTGGAAGGTACCCTGTGGCAGTAGCCGCTGCTGGAGATCTGATGTACCTGCTCAAAGCCGAAGACTCTGCCAGAACCCTCCTTTATGCCCACGGCCCGCCTGTCACATGTCTAGACGTCTCTGCCAACCAAGTTGCTTTTGGTGTACAGGGCCTGGGATGGGTGTACGAAGGAAGCAAGGTACACAACTAGCAAGATGTATAATTAACAAAAAAGAACATAGATTTATTTTTTAGAAGGGACTTGAAAAATTAAAGCTCTTCAATATTTTTCCAGATATATCAGGGCAGTATATAAGCATGGTCAAAAAATTCAAAGAACTTCAAAAGGATTGAAAATGAAAATTAATCGTTTTCTTTCTCCTCCCTTCCCCCAACTTCGCTGCATAGAATAAACTATTAACAGTTTTGAGGTATCCACCTAGAAAAATGTAATGCATATATAAGTACATTTGTATACTGAAAACATATTGTTGTAGAGATGCGATCACAGTATACATAGTGTTCTGTACCCAGCATTTTTACTCCATAATGTGCCTTGGGGAGAGCATTCCATGTCAGCTCTTACCAACTCTCCCTCCCTAGGATTCCAGCATATGCTTCTAGCTCATAGCCTGTTTAGCCAGGCCCCTCACTGGTGGGCATTTAGCTTGCTTTCACTGTGTTGGCTGCTGTAAGCAATGCTACAATGCATATTGCAGCTTGCAGAAGTCCTTGTATATATAGTGTATCTCTAGGATGTGTACTTGCGATAATGATGGACATTGCCAAGTTGCTTTTCTAAAAAGGTGCATCAGAATTCACATTCTTACCAACAGTGCATAAAAGTGCCTCCTGAAACTCTGAGTCAGAAGCAGGAAGACAGGTTTTTAATGGAAATTCTTTGAGTGATGACTAAATTTTATCACTCCCTAGCATCTTACTATCCTGAGTGTAGGCCAAATACTTGGTCTAAGAGCTGATTTATAGACTCTCCCTATCAGTGGGACCAAGTGGGAGAGAGAGAAAGTTTTTGTTTCATTTTGGTTTTTTCTTTCCAATTTCCCTGCTCCTGACCCCTTCTGTCAGTTGGTGGGATTCCTGCGAAGGAATGTGTCTGGGTCCGCAGACCCTGTGTGACTGTTAGTACGTTCCTTAACCCTCTTTATGCCTCAGTTTCCTCATTTGTAAAATAGAGTTCATAATAGTGCCTGCTTCTTAGAGTTGTAGGATTAAATGAAAAGCCATATGTAAAGCTTGAGGCATGGTGCCTGGCACATGAGAGCTCACGATCTGTTGGCTCCTGAACCTCCCGTTATTACTCCCACCCATAGTTGGAGTCCAGCCTCTGGTGGTGCTTACTTTTACATCTTATTTCCTCCATGTATTTGACCTGTAAGGTCAAATCTCATTTATGTAGGAGTGATTGGTTTTGCAACCCAGTAAATGGTTAAGAATGGAAGCATCTTGGATCCCAGTGATACATTCTTCATCCAGGAAGACAGACTAAGCGTAGACGCTATATGTGTGGCGTCCTGTCATCCCACTGTGAAAAGGCCTCCCCTTATGCTGCAAACTTGGTGTGCAGTTTGGTTGGGGCATCTCCATTGTGTCCTAGCTGGAAGATGTGTCATGATATAACTCCTGAGTTTTGTCTTCCAGCTCAGGAGGGAAGGAGCAGGAATTGGTTTCCTAAGGCAGTTTCCTTTCTCGTGCTCTAAAAAAACTTTCTTTTCCCATCCCTGGTGAGCTCATTTGTTGAGACAGGAGAGACCATTTGCTTTCTAATTTTTCATCTGGTGTGCTTTCAAGTTTGTGTTATCTCATTTATTTTTAGAGCTCTCAGTATAGAGAGGTGATAGTTATATTCAGTACCAGTCTGGTTTAAATTTTTCATGCTTTTTATAAATGTTTTATCAGGTAGGTCCTTTTTCTCTTTGACTTATCTGAATGGATTTATTCCTGTAGTAATACAGTTGTAATGGATACATTTGAGAAACTACCTAAAGGGGCAGTTTCCCAGCACAAGGATCCTTCAGATACGGATGTAAGGCAGTGGGGTTTTTTTGATTCCTCTCAAAATTTCCAACCCAACTGAAAGCATTCACTGTAAGAATCAGCTGATTAATACATTAATTTTATGAAAAATCCTTAGTTAAAAATGTACAGTCCCTGGCTGGGCACGGTGGCTCACATCTATAATCCCAGCACTCTGGGAGGCCAAGTCAGGAGGATGGCTTGAGGCTGGGAGTTTGAAAACAGCCTGGACAACATAGCAAGACCCTGTCTCTACAGAAAAAAAAAAAAAGTATAGTCCCTCAAATGACTTGTAAGCTGGTATTTTCGTTGGTGTTTTAAAATTAGGAGTGGAAATAAATTTGCTACAAGAATGTTTCTAAATGTCTCTTTGGAAGCTGACAGTAGCATTTAGTCATCCAAATATGTTGTGAGCACAGCACCAACCCTCCAAACACTCGTGTGGGTGAATGGCTACTTGTTAGTAGTGTTGGTAATAACTTTGTGTTGAGATGTTTCTCCAACAGGAATGCCACCCACTCAAAAGTAAGAGGAACACCAAGCTTTATCTATGTAACTTTGCTTATTTTTACAGAGATGAGACTTTCCATCCCATTGCGCTTAATGGATTTTCTGCTTCCTCAGAAAAACTTGCATTTTTAAGAAACGTAATTGTCATATAACAGCTCTACGTGAATTAAGTCATGTCATGGGTAACTCTGTGAGATTTTAGTATCTTCCTGCTGTGCTCTAATGTGATGTCATAATTCCCAAATAGTCTCATGTGCGAGGCTTGGTGTCACTTTGCTTGTGAATACCATGCTTGGCCATCTCTTTGCTTCAGCCTGGCGGCAGCGTCTATCCCACCACATTTTATTAGGCTGGTGTGAGACTATTAGCAGTGGAGTTTGCCTGGAGCTATATCCACACTAGGGTTTGTATCTGTGCCTCTGGCCTGTATATCTAGGATTCAGATGAAGGTTTTATGAGAACAGAGCATTTGGTTTGTATTTGTTTGTACCTGATACAAAACTGGGGTTTAGCTATAGTCCATTATTGATTAACTGTGATAAAAGCGGACAGTGAAGTCCAAATGTTGAAACTGACTTTTAGTCAGAAACTTAAAGCTCCCTAACCTGTTGAAGTATTCCAGAGGTGTTATTTTTGTTTAGTTGGAGAGTATTCTTACACCGTATGATGCCTACATTAGCATGTTACAGGCACCTCAGCTGCATGCGCATGGAGTAATAATGGCTCAAATCCACCCATTCCTATATCTGGCTAGCCAACCCATTGTGTATTCATCACAAATACTGAGCACCAGTAGTGTTCCTGGCATTGGCACGTTAAAACAGCATCACACACAGATTTCAGCAAACTGGTGCTTGTCAAGGAACCTAGCTCTGTTAATAAACATAGTTTTCTAAAGAAACAAAGCCGAGTAATTTAGCAAAAGCTTATCTGTTTAATCTTTTTTTTAAAAAAATTCTTCGAATGTAGCTGGCTGATCAGTCACCTCCAGCTTGGGTAGGAAGGGATCAGACAGTCTGGGCCCTGCAACATCTTGATTTGCCTGTTGGACAGGGGCTCCCAGACTTGGGTTTCAGGCGTCAAAGTTAGGGGCCACACCTGGGTTTGCCAGCAGTGTTACAGGCTACATAGTCATAGAAAAAATAGCAACTATGTATTTTTGCCCTTTTTTGGAAGATTAGAGTCTTTTTTTAAATTAAAATCATTTTATTTCAATAGCTTTAGGGGGGTAAAAAGGGTTTTTGGTTACATGGATGAACTGCGTAGTGGTGAAACTTGGGCTTTTAGTGTACCTGTCACCCAAATAGTACACATTGAACCCAGTACCCTTCTGAGTCTCCAGGGTCCTCCTGTGCCACTCTATGCCTCTGCATACCCATAGCTTAGCTCCCACTTATAAGTGAGAACATGCGATATTTAGTTTTCCATTCTTGAGTTACTTCACTTAGGATAATGGCCACCAGTTCCACCCAACTTGCTACAAAGGACATTATTTCATTCCTTTTTATGGCTGAGTATTATTCCATGGTGTGTGTGTGTGTGTGTGTGTGTGTGTGTGTGTGACATTTTCTGTATCTACTTATTGGTTGATGGGCACTTAGGTTGGCTTCATATCTTTGCAATTGTGATTTCTGCTGCAATAAACATTTGTGTGCAGGTGTCTTTTTTATACAGTGACTTGTTTTCCTTTGGGTAAATATCCAGTAGTGGGATTGCTGGATCAAATGGCAGATCTGCTTTTAGTTATCTGAGAAATCTCCATACTGTTTTCCATAGAGATTGTGCTAGTTTACATTTCCACCAGCAGTGTATAAGCATTCCCATTTCACAACATCCACACCAACATCTATTGATTTTTCACTTTTTTTTTTTTTGAGATGACGTCTTGCTCTGTCGCCCGGGCTGGATTGCAGTGGTGTGATCTCGGCTCACTGCAACCTCCACTGATCAGGTTCAAGCAATTCTTCAGCCTTAGCCTCCCGAGTAGCTGGGATTACAGGCGTGTGCCACCACGCCTGGCTAGTTTTTGTAGTTTTAGTAGAGACGAAGTTTCACCATGTTGGCCAGGCTGGTCTCAAACTCCTGACCTCGTGGTCTTCCTGCCTTGGCTTCCCAAAGTGCTGGGATTACAGGCATGGGCCGCTGCACCCGGTCTGTTTTTTGACTTTTTAATAATGGCCTTTCTGGCTGGGTTAAGGCGGCATCTCATTGTGGTTTTAATTTGCATTTCCCTGATGATTAGTGATGTTAAGCATTGTTTCTTATGTTTGTTGGTAATTTGTATATATTCTTTTGAGAAATATCTGTTCATGTCATTTGCCCATTTTTTAATGGGATTATTTGTTTTGGCTTTTTTTTTTCTGCTGATTTATTTGAGTTCCTAGTAGATTGTGGATATTAGTCCTTTGTTGGATATATAGTTTGCAAATATTTTCTCCCATTCTGTGGGTTGTCTGTTTACTCTGTTGATTATTTCTTTTGCTGTGCAGAAGCTTTTTAGTTTAATTAGGTGCCATTTATTTGTTTTTGTTACATTTGCTTTTGGGATTTTAGACATAAATTATTTGCCTAGGCCAATGTCCAGAAGAGTCTTTCCTAAGTTCTCTTCTAGAATTTTTATGGTTTCAAATCTTAGATTTAAGTCTTTAATCCATC